ACCGCGTGGCTTCTTACCCCTTCTAAAAATTGTAACAGCCCTGGCCGGTGTGGCTCAGTGGATAGAGCGTCGGCCTGCAGACTGAAGGGTCCCAGGTTCGATTCCACTCAAGGGCACATGCCCGGGTTGTGGGCTCGATCCCCAGTAGGGGGCGTGCAAGAGGCAGCCGATCCATGATTCTCTCCCATCACTGATGTTTCTGTCTCTCCCTCCCTCTCCCTTCCCCTCTGAAATCAATAAAAATATGTTTGAAAAAAAGAAAGAAAGAAAGAAAAATTAGGCCATGAAAAGACATGGAGGACACTCGGGTACACAGCACTAAGTGGAAAGGAGCCAGTCTGCAAAGGCTGCCTCTGGCGGGACCGCAGCTGCGTGACATTCTGGAAAAGGCACAACCAGCAAGACAGTGAAAGGATCAGGGGCTGCAGTGGGGATGGGGGCCGGAGGGGCGGGGAGGACGGAGACTAGCAGAGCTCAGAGGGTCACTGGGCAGTGGAGATGCCCGTATGATGTTATAATGGATACGTGTCACCATACCTTTGTCCAAGCCCACACGATGCACAACATCAAGCGTGAAGTCTCGGGTGATGATGGGAAAAGAAACTACCATCCAGGTGAGTGAGTGACGTTGAGAAGGGGGGAGGCTGTGTGTGTGGGCGCGGGGCGGGGGGCAGGGTATATGGGAAATCTTTGTATCTTCCCCTCAATTTTGGTGTAAATCTAAAACTGCTCTAAAAAGATAAAGTCTTAAAAAGTTTGACAAGACCCCATGGAACGTCTGTTCTACTGGGAGGAAATAAACCAGTCATTGAAGGAGCACTGTGTGCCCTGAAGACATTAAATCAGGACAACGCGGCCGAGAGACGGTGCGAGAATCCACCCGGTGCTACTTGGGGCGATCAGGGGAGGCATTTCAGCTGAAACCTAAATAAAGAGCAGCAGCCGGCCATGCAGAGGCCAGGAGGAAACGGCAGATGCAAAGGCCCTGAGACAGGAAGGAGCTTGGCCCATTGGCGGGGG